CATAATCGCGGTCACGAAGTTGGAGAAGTTACCTTTCAAAGGTAACTCATTAGCGTTACCATTAGTTATATATTGAAAAAAGCAATTTGTTACTACTACACTTGCCTACTTTGAAAAATAACTCATTATTCTGTTGATGTTACTCAAGAATTAACCAACGAGTTGTTTTCCTTTCATCACCTCTTACTTTTTTCATCAAGTTTGGAAAGAAAAGAGGTTATGGAAATGTAAGTATATTTTACAAAGCGCAAAGTAATGATAAAAATAACGATTGTAATCGTTATCGTTACAAAATGTAACTGCGTTACGGTTATCATCAGTGACGATGAGAGATAAGGTTATTACTAAATTGCCACTAGAAACAAGAAAACTTTTAACGGTAACTGCGTTATAAGACGCACATTACTACGTAATTAGGATTGGATGAAAGATAACCTGCGAGAACGTCGCGCGGCTTGATTCATTAATTTTTATTATTGATTAATTATTTTTGATTGATTAATTAATTTTTCCGAAGCTACAAAATCTCAATTAGCGGGCGATGCCGATCCGAGCGAAGCGATGTCAATCTCGAATAGTCAATTTATACGGCGACGTTAATTGCTAGAGCAGTTTATCGTTTTGGCTAAGGAAACCTTCAGTTTTACGGCATTCCAGGAACGCGGGGCGTGTTTCAGTTCGCTTTTACTCGATCCTTCGCTCCGCGTGTCTTGATTTCCGCTTTTATTCCGTATGTACATACCGCGTTTGCCCTTTCGTAACCAATTTATGCCGATGCGACTACGGCGGAGCGAAGAAATTCCCTTCTCGCGGTGCTGTTGTCCCTCCATCTTTCTTACTTGAGCAAATGCAAAGATTGCGGAAAGATGAGAACGATTTCTAATGGAACGTGACTGATCGGCGGTTAATCTATATCGGTAATCGTGAACTCGTGAACTCGTGGTTAGTAGTGTGTGCACGTGTGTGCGCGTTTATGTGTCTGTGATGTGTGCTTTTGCGTAAAGTGTTGGCGCCCATCATGCGCTTCGTGAGTTCATTGCTTTATTGACTATCGGAGTAGGGATGCCGATTTTTTTTCAAACAGATCGATTTAAGGATCAATTCGAATCACGAAGAAAAGTCGATCTTTAAAAAGTCGGTCTGTAAAGAATAGATTTCAGAAAATCGATTTGAATCGTCGGTATGCATGTAAAGTGAACCACTCATGAAAGTATACTATCTGTCAAATTTCTACACTCTAAAGTAGACCTCGTGTAATTCATATAAAGTTTAATATGAATTGAAGAAATTAAGCAGATGGTACTCTTTTGGTTGTGTTGTGTGTGGTCACAACAAGATAGAAAAAGATCTTTAAATCTTTATGCTAAGGATTTAATTAGGTTGATTAAACATCAATCAAGGGTATTTAAATGTTATTAAATAAGAAATCACGTTTACTATTACATGCATATACATATATATGTAATATATACTATTATATGGAGTGGCTGTGATTGGTTCGCGCGTTCCGTTCCGCTGAGAATTTTCGCCCATGGGACATTCGCCTAAAGGCAACATAATGTGCATCGTGCAGTCATTAAGTGAGTTCAAATGTTACAACTAAAAGGAATTAAAAAAAACTATATTATTAGTAGAAACTGAAAAAATCGTGTTGGCGATTTTCAGAACTTACAGATCGATCCTTGAATCGATTCAGTTCCAGAAAATCAATTTGAAATCGATCTTTTAGGCTCCGATTAATCGATCTTCGATTAAATCAATTTAAAATCGGCATCCCCATATCAGAGTCGACGTCGATCTGTGCTGCCGCGATCTGCAAAAAAATGACGAAGTTTTAAAAATCAATGTTGCGGCACGTAGCACCATGTAATGTAGACTGATGATACTTATAACCATCACTAACGATCGGTTTCGCGACATTTACAATGCGTTACATTGTGTTAGAATTTCGTTCGAAGAAGTCGAAAAATAGTGCGGAGACACGAGAATTATTAAATTAATGTTCCGATAATTCTTGCGTTTTGCTACTTTCTCGGCTTTACCGTCCTCAAAGATCTCGCGAACTTTTTAATTAAACCTTCTTTAAATCAACTTTAATTAATCCTTTTTTAATTAACCTTAATTAACCTTCCAATTAATTTTTACCTTAATCTTTTCTATATTTTTTTCATGCTGTCATTATTGGCTGAAATTTCATTTTAACCAGAAAGAGTAAACGAATTTGACACCTAACTCTACCAATAACATACTTTTATATGCATGAATAACATCATATCTCTCTCTCTCTCTCTCTCTCTCTCTCTCTCTCTCTCTCTCTCTCTACACACACACACACACACACACACACACATATATGTTATAATAAAAATGCTTCCTCCCAAATTTATTAAATTACTTGTTACAGGTTGTAATCATTATTTTCTTTTATGTTTCACTTTTAACTTGGTTTCCAAACATAAATTTGAGTAAGAGAGACTATATCAACATGTCAAGGAGGCACCTGATGTTACTTTCAGGCTTAAAAACTATGTTCAAATCACTTATGTAAAATAATTATATATGATGATGCACGAGATGTGCAACATTCACGCAAGTAATCGTAAACACACAGTTTGAGGAGACACGGACATAGAAAAAATTTTCTTCTTAATTGTTACAGTTAAATAATTAAAGACTGCAACACTTTTATCTCGATAAGTTTCGCAACGTATCCAATAGAAAAGTATACTTCCTAAAAAACGAACTCTTCTATTGGACACTCCTATTGGGGTGCATTCTGAAACTCAACGAGATAAAGTATTATAATCTTTGATCATCGGACTGCGCTTTCACCACCACAGAATTGATAAATGGCTTCGAATAAACCTCGTACTTCAAAGTCATTTCACGACGGCCAACTTCCGACATTCAATCACGTAAGAAGATACACCGTTGCAAATACATGTGAGTGCGTGCAGCTCGAATTACTCCGATCGTCTCGCCCACACCGTTGAGAGAGCGCACCAGACGGCGGCGCGGCTCTCCGTCTTGACTTATGCGTTATTTATCTTTTCGCCCGGGTCTCGGTCTGTCTTTGGAAATCACAGTCTAGTCTACAGTAAACTAGCCGACCGGACCGGCTCGTTCTTGGAGGGCGAAGTACGCGTCTGAAATACGATTGCTCGCGGCGCGACGCCGGACGCATATAAAATACTCGGACGGACCGTATCCGTCTTAACGCCCCTTGAAAATTTCTCAAAATGTTACAGTGAAAAAATCACATTTTTCTTGTGACATAATATTCCTAACGTCGCCACACAACACGTTCGCTATCAGTGTAACACAATGTGCGACGCGCCAATCCAGATAGAACAAAAAGTTACGATGACGTTAAAATGAAAAAAAATAGAAAACATAAGTTATGGCGACATCAAAATGACGAAAAAATGACCGAATCGTAATGAAAAAATAAATTTTCCTCATCATTTTGACATCATTTTGACGTCATCATGATTTTCTGTTCTATTCTGGACACTTTTTATTCCATTTTATACGAAAACAAATTGAAAGAAATATATATAAAAAGAGAAAAGAAAGAGTCTTACCTATGGATCAATCCAATAAGCACAATTTATCTTTCATATTGAGTACTGAGATAGACAAATAGACAAGTTAATATAGATTTCCGGAGGGTGATAAACAAAACAATATGCGGAAAGTACAACGAATTTTTTTTACGAAATGTTGAAAGAAAAACACCAATAACGTAACGTGGTGCCACCTATCTACGAGTCCTAGATTTTCTTCTTTCCTGGAACAGATGTTTTTTTGCATATGGTGATGGTAACGGTAATTAGTGGGGCTATTTCTTTTCGAAGAATCTTGAACATCTTTGAACAGGTGCACACTAGTAAGATAAGTTAGAATGAGAAAAAATATATCTATTTCACTTCAACTTATCGTACTAATTCAAAAATCTTTCGGAAAAGAACATAGACATAATACATCTAGACCGCGTGTTCGAGAAATGGGGATAGAACTTATATAGAAAAGGATGCACTTTGTTTCCGTGTGTTCTCTGTCGTACACGCGAAGGAAAGGGAATAAGGGAATGCAGGTGCTGACCTGTTGTAGTCATCCCTTATTCTCCTTCTCTCGCGTGTGCGGGGGAGAACGTACAGACACAAAACCATAAAACATAGACATAATACATAGACTGCGCGTTCTCTCATTTCTGTTTCAAGAGTAGGAGCAGAAGTCACGTAGAAAAAGATACACCTGTTTTGTCTACTGTCATAGAACAGACTTAGTATAATAAGTGCACATGGGAAGCGATATTATGAGTGCAAAAATCTGATGGAGTAGAATATAAGAAAAATATAAGCAGATACAAGTTAACATTGATATAATATGTACTGTGTTTATAATATATTCAATTATAATTTAATATCAACTCTTAGTGATATTTAATACATATAACTATAAAAGATTACTAAAATATATTATATACATACTATATAGTATATAGTTATATAATTAATATATTTTCTGACACATATAATATATGTTTATAATATAATTTCTCGTAATGATATTCGTGCATAGACATACATTATGATACATCGCATATTTTGTATTGATTTTTAAAACATTAGACAATTGTATATGATCAATTAGACGTATCTGGTATTGCACACATTGCGATCATTTTAAACTTATGAAGCGATACACGCTCAAAATTTGTGCAAATAAAAAAAGATATCTATAAAATAGTCGTAAAAAGTCAACGTAACGTGTGGCTAATTTCATAACGATACTATAATTTCATTACGTTAGTTTTATGATTATCTCAATGTATTTTGCAAGAATTTGAAGCATTTTCTGACTTATGATGTCATTCGTGAAGGTGGCTCTGTGACGAGAAGGTAAAAACTTTAAAAAAATTCGTGTAGTCAATTAATGATGCCTCTTTTTATAAGTGCTAGATACTTCACTGATATCGCGCATGCGTGAAAGTCTCGGCCCGCATAATAATACTGCCCCCGAAAGTTCTTGATAAAAATCAACGTGAGGGCAAGGAAAACGAGACACATATATAAGTGTTTCTGCCGCTCAAGGGTTATCTCGTGGAAAACGACACAACAAATTTGTCGAGGTCATTGAAACAAAGAGAACGACTAAGACGGGAGAAAGAGACAAAGTGAGGTATTCGTTCGTGAAAGCGGTGACGAGGAACTCCTCAGGAATTGGCTACTTATTGACGCTACGTCGAGCTGTTTCTCTCCTTCAAGTCTGAAAGGTAATTTTGTCACTTTTGCGATTTAACTAAAGTTCCACGCTTGGTGAAACGTCCGCGTGTATAGTTTATATTTGATTTGCCAAACAGATAAATATTGCACAATAATTGAAAATAGTGTAACAAAAGATCGATATATGTAATATTATGGGGACAATTATTATACATTTGATTTCAGAACAAGAATTTGAACGCTTTCTTGATGTAGTTTGGAACGCAGCCGATGGTTCGATGAGAGAATTTATTTTCTGGGAATTGATAAAAACGTTCTTGAATTGATAAAAGCTCTCTTATTGGCTACATTCCAAACTTTGCTTTGACAAGCAGAAAATTAGTCTCTTTGAAACCAAATATACTCGCTCACTGTATGCTAATAGATGAGTATTACTTCATTAGATTATATATATTCACATAACCTTGATTTTTGTATGTACAGATGCCTAACATAAAGCTGCAGAGTTCCGATGGTGAAGTCTTTGAGGTTGACGTTGAGATTGCAAAATGCTCTGTCACTATTAAGACTATGTTAGAAGATCTTGGTATGGATGAAGATGAAGAAGAAGTTGTGCCACTGCCAAATGTCAATTCGGCAATTCTTAGGAAGGTTATACAATGGGCCACGTATCATAAGGATGATCCACCTCCACCAGAAGATGATGAGAACAAAGAGAAGCGTACTGATGACATTAGCTCTTGGGATGCTGATTTCTTGAAGGTATAAAACACTGTATTTAACCCTTTAACTGCTATGGTCGAGATAACTCAAGTGTGGGAAAAAATGGCGGCTTTGCTACGATCGAGTTTACTGGATTTGGACCTTCAATATGTAATACCCATTTAATTTAGTTTGTAAAAAGCATTTGAATTGAGCGGGCATATAGTGCCATCTCTTATCATTATAAAATATTTTATAATTGTAAAAATAACTCAACAAAGAGGGTCATACTGGTCATTTAATATCTCAGCAGTTAAAGGGTTAATGGATAAAATATTATAATAGATATATTATGAAAAATGTTGAACTCTATTATATTTGAAATATCAATGTATCTGTTTCCTAGGTGGATCAAGGAACTCTCTTTGAACTGATCTTAGCAGCTAATTATCTCGATATTAAAGGACTTTTGGATGTGACCTGCAAAACTGTTGCTAATATGATCAAGGGTAAGACACCTGAAGAAATTCGCAAGACATTCAACATTAAAAATGATTTTACTGCTTCGGAGGAAGAGCAAGTACGTAAGGAGAACGAATGGTGCGAGGAGAAGTAGATCTGGATCTTGCATATTTATGAAAATGCTCAAGAATTTGACCTTGAATTATTAGGCTCCAAAATTATCCTTTCTCTTTGATGAGATTCTTTCAGGAAATAATTTCTTTTCAATGAGATCTGCTAAGTTGCTCTCGCTAAAATTAACTTGTATTAAGTGAGCAACTTGTATCTCCTATAGCTCTTCTGTATCATTTATTGCATATAGCTTGAAGTTGTTATTTATTTCAAATAAAGATAGAATAATAATCATGAATTAAGGCTCCTGTTTTCTAGCAGCGACCATATTGGTTAATGACATTAAAAATGAGAAAGTGAGTACGTGATAATAAAAAGATCGATAAAATGACATTTGTGTAATCAATTGAGCAAATTTGTAAAATAGTACAGAGAAATTTCCTTTGTTCCAATGACTAATAAGTATCCACATCACATATGACATAATAAGTATCACATCACATATGGCATTAAAATTATATAATGTAATTAAAAAGCTAAATAGATTTAATTCGATAGCTACTTAGTATAGCATCATATTTATCTTATAATTATATATTCGGTAAAGCAAAATGAAAATGTTTGGTGTATTTCACAAAACTACTTAAACGATCATAAATATTATTTTATGTATATGTATGGACATATATATTTTTATTTTAATCTTCTATATAAGTACTTTAAACGTATATTTTCTTACTTTTGGTATCAGTCAAGGTGACCGCGGCGAAAAATCAAGAGTCGTAATTTATTATATGTGTTTATGCACTTTATATCTGAAAATCTAATACAATGTGAAATTTTTCAATATTATCGAAAATTTGCTATAGATGTGCCTTTATTCTAAATTGTCTTACTAAGAAATGCTTCTAGCGCACTTACACGCAATGTTAGATAACAGTTGCAATTTTACATAGAGTGAAATATAACAAATGTATATTTAAGAATATTAAGAATATTGTATACACATTTGAAATTGAAATTAAACGTAAAACGTAAGAAACTATTCTTATGTGTTGTGTATATTGCATCGTTGACGTGATTTTATATAAGGAAAAGTTATGTTTAAATAATTAAAGGTATATCATGTTGTATAGTAGTGATGTGGCTTCAAATAAACAAAATGGTATAATAATATATAAAATTACACTATTTTAGAGTTTTCCATGAGATCTCTATAAAGGTATAAGTTTATATATTAAAGCTATTATACTGATTTACAAAACGGCATGGAAAACGCCGTTTGCCATTTTGTTAGAAAGTATACAACTTAAGATACAGTATCACGGATTATATTTTTCGTGTAATCAGAGTCTCAGAGACGTTTTGCGTTTTCGATTCGTCTTAGGCTGAAATCTCAAGCAGGTGGCAAATAAAAAAATATAAACAGTAAGCAAATTAATTCTAGATGAAATGTAACGTTCTCAACTATGATCGATTTGCTTACTGTTTATGTTATTCTGTGTATTTGCTATATGCCATGTGCTATAACTATTACAATCATTTGTATATACGGGTTTTATAACAATTGTTACACACACATATATATATGGTAAAAATGATCTACATATGATAATGATAATGATATCACTGGTAAAAGTTACAAAATAGGTCAAAATTAAAAGCACGAGAAGCACCGAAAATAATATATAACGGTTTTAAAATAGAATTATATTGCTATTATAAAAAAAAATTAAATAACCTCAATATTAATAACTTACAATAGCAGTTATATACCCGTATTCATGGTCAGGCCTTATATTTGAGACCTCCTTATATCCATCTTTAGATGCTGCACGGATTATTTTATTGGCTACAGTTCATCTGAAGATAAACTCAAGGAAGTCTTAAATATAAGGCCTGACTATGAATATGGGTGATATTATATGTTACTTTCATGTTACATAATAGTGTGTGTGGTGTGTTATATTCTATTCTAGTTTGTTGAGATATTTATGATATCTTTTTAAATGGCATCAAATGAATCTTTCATTGAACATACTAGGTGCGCAACTAAATTTCCGGGTTTTTTTAATCAATGAAAAATGGAAAATTTCAAGAGAAATACAAAAAATGGTTTACTCAAAGTATCGTCCCCAGTTATTTACACATTTTTGCCATTTCTCTGGCAACATATGAATACCGCGACGATAAAACGACGCGTTTTTGGACCAAAACCATTTATCCAACCAATTTTGCACTTCTTCGAAATTGGCCAAGTATTGCCCAGACAAGTCATACGCCATCGACCGGAACAAGTGATAAGTAGAAGGGATCAGGTCTGGCGAATGCGCCGGGTGCGGCAGCATTTCCCGTTCTGATGGTCTCTTGGACGAAGAAACTGCGATAGCATGGATCGTTGTGCTGCAATACCACTGGTTCGTCTCTCGTGTGCCATTCTGGCCGTTTTGTGAGCAATGCATGGTTCAAATCGATCAGATGTTGTCGGTAGCGATGCTTATCGGCAGTTTCGCCCGGTTTCAGCAGCTCATAGTACACGATTCCTTTCTGGTCCCACCAAACGCAGAGCATTGGCTTCTTTCCGAAGCGATTTGACTGTGCCGTCAATGTTGATGCTTCGCCAGATGAAGCTACATTTTGCGTTCGGAATCCTCGAAATATATCCAGCTGTCATCGCCAGTAACAATTAGATGCAGGAAATTCTCTCTTTCATGCCACAAAAGCAACATTTCGGAAATGGCTCTTCGATATTTCATCTGTTTCTTAGTCAACTCAACCCGCTTCCCTATTCCTTTCATTCGAATATCTCCCATGGCAGATAAACGTTTGGAAAAACTTTGGCGAATCATGTTTAATGCCTCTGCACGTTGATCTTGTGTTAGCCTATCATCTTCATCCAATGACGCTTGCAGATCGGCGTCCTGAATTGTTTCTGGTCTTCCGGAGTGCTCCTTGTCCTCAATGTCGAAATCACCATTTTCGAAGCGTTTAAACCAATCTTCACAGGTAGTTTTCGATGGTGCATGTTCGCCGTAGGCCTCCTCAAGCAAACGACGTGCTTTAGCTGCACTTTTTTTCAAATTAAAGCAGAAAAGCAAAGCTTCCCGCAAATGCTGTTCGTTTGGCACAAAACTCGTCATCTTCGTTGTTAGAAAAAATATTTTTGCGTTGCGATATGTGTCGGTATTACGTCTGATTATTGTTAACCGATGCAGTGCTGGGGGATCCAAAGAATTTCCTACGCTTACAGTGCATGCCTGAAGTGACGTAGAGCTACATATATATAAAAAACCACTGACGGTTTAAAACGCATGACAGAGGAGGCATGGAGGGGCCCTGGTAAAATATCTGTGTTTTCCGTTGTTGTTTTCCCGCGTTTCTTCCGCGAGTGCGTGGTTTAGGGTTAAGTTACCCAGTAAACATTAAATATGTTATATTTATGTTATGTTACATCAACATTATATTTTCTTAATATCATTAATTAATGTAATGTAAGTGTTACTTAGTGTTTATATGTAGTATGTAAAAATAGTGATAGTGCAATTATAGTGTTTATTTTTTGTTAAATAAAATATTAAGTGCTAAATAAAATATTAAGTGAAAATGGATGACCAACCTTCAACCAGTGGCATCGAGAAGAGGAAAATTGGAGCACAAAAATTTAGAACAGCGTGATTAGGTATGAACATTTTTAAAGATTAGTTGACATGGCATCAGGTACGTTCAATAACAGTGAAAGTATTGATATTAAACATTTACATATCATTAATGATAGTATTAAATATTGTGTTCAACATTAACATAAGTATTCTTTTTAACGTTTATTTGTTTTGTATAATTTTATTGTAAGAATATTAGTAAGATTTTTCCGCAGTTTCCCTTGTTATTACAACAAATGTTGGTATTCATATATTATTTTTCTGCAGTTATTAAAAAATAAAATTATATATTTATTATTAATTATGAACAGTATTCTGTTTTTTTCACAGACCTTTCTATTCTCCCTACAATTCCTTCATATTTTCTTTCAAACGAGGGATCTTATGCCCGTATTAGACTATAGATTGAAAATTACAGCTGAATCAACTTAAATAACCAAGATTTAGATTACCTGATTTATGCGATTGCAATTTTCAATCCATAGTATCTTACTGGCGATAAAATACCTTTAAATTAATACGGTACTGAGGTTCCCACAGCGTTTGCTCAATGCGCACGCCCGGAAATCTTTGGATCTTCCAGTATTGAACCGATGTCCAAGTTATAAAAAAAACACAACTTCAGACATGTGATATATATGTCGACTACATGTGTCGTTAGCGCCATCCATGTGTGAAACCCGGAAACTTGGTTGCGCACCTAGTATAATGTTGTCTGGTTTATGAACTGCCTGTATCAAATAATGGCTGCGTTCCGAAATTCACTGCCAATACTGAAAATACATAATTTGTGTCACGTATACTATAGAATTTCAGTGCTGACAGTGAATATCGGAACGGAGCCAATATAATGGCATATATACATATAGACGGGTTAGAGACTAAGCAATATTATATTTTTCAAGAGCGATCAAATAGATATCATTTTAGAATGATATTAAGATAATATTTTCAAAGAATCTCTTAAATGAGATATCTCAAAGAGTTCTCTTAATAAATACCTTTAGTAAATGATTTTTAAATATTTCGATATAATCTTCAAGATATATATATATATATATATAAATACTGTCTTTGAAAAAATTTATTTAAAGTTTTCATTCTGGCATAACGTGCTTTGTCATCATGCTTTAATTTGTAATTGCATGTTTTGATAATTTTCTGCTTTCTAGATTATCCTATTTTTTACGAAGATAGATATATTCTGAGCATGAATAATATGAAAATAGCTTAGATAATATGTAACCAATAGGATAACATTATATTTCCTTGCTGGCAAATAGCCAATACCTTTAATTTCATATTCACATTCGCATTTAGCGTTATCTATATAGGTTTTCCTTGCTAAAAATTTATTCGAGTTATTTTATGTAAGTTTCGGAATTCATTTATCTTGTCCAATAGGAATTCTCTTGTTAGAAGACGATATTAAGGCTCGTCTACATTAGCTGTAAGAGTAAGGCTGTAAGGTTGCAAGACACGAAATGAAATATTTTCATTCGCTGACAGCTTACGTTACAGCCTTACAGCCTTACTTTTAAGGCTCGTATACATTAGCTGTAAGATCGACCGATGCAAAAATGACGAGTCACCAGATATAAGCTGTAAAATTATTTGCGATAAGATATTAATCTTGGTTCAAAATAAGGATAATCCGAGCCAACCGTGTCAAAATGCGATTACGCGTTTCGGAGTTAGAAATCACGAAAGATAGAAAAGTGACAGGCTCGGAAATGACTTGTCACGAAATATTAATTATCGAAATATGGGTGATAAGGTTTTAATCTATGCCTAAAATAACTAAGATTCTTGTAAACCGCATCGAGCTGCGATTACGCGTTCCGGAGTTAGGCCCCTTGCACAATGCCAGGCAACAAGCAATAAGAATAAAAATAGACCAATCACAGTCGACTATTACAAGAATAATCTATTGTGATTGGTCTATTTTTATTCTTATTGCCTGTTGCCTGGCATTGTGTAAGGGGCTTTAGAGGCCACGAAATATTGAAAAGTGACAAGTTCGGAAATGACAAGTTATGAAATATTAATTAACGAAATATGAGTGATAAGATTTTAATCTAGACCCAAAATAACCAAGATCTTCATAAATTGCAACAACGTGCGCCTACGCGTTATAGAGAATTTGAAGCCGATATGTCTAGATTCTAGATTGATCGATGCGAAAATGATGGGTTACCAATTATAAATTAATAAATCGTGTGCAATAAGAAGCTAATGTAAATTGGAAATAACAATGATCCGTAGATACCAAATCAGTCCAACGTTACAGAATTATGAAGTCCGAAATATTGAAATTAATATAGAGAAAAATGATGGATTAATATATATATGTCATGGAAATATTTATGCTAATCGAAAGAAATGG